TGTAAATAATATCTATCACTAAATGATACATAAAGTTTTTAATTCTTTGTTTATCTTCATATTGATCAGTTGAGAATGATTCATGATTCAGGGCACAGCACTTTATTGCCGATGCATTTCGTTACATAGACCGTGGCATCATCAGGGCAAGTTTAAGTACGAAGTACATTCAGTAACTACTACCGCGTCCAGCTTCGAATAGCATCAGACTCAAGTAATTGCTTTCATTTCAGAGCTTGTCCATGAAGGAGGTGGAACGGTTCAAAAATGGTTTAATCAATATCACTGGCTTCCAAGTGTTTAACGGTAGCTCGCCCCGTTTTCAACGGTTCATCAGAGCATGGAGTCGTCTCGACAGTCGATTGTTTCAAGAAGCGGGTAGCAGCCATATTTCGGTAGTCTTCGGCTGATGCGACCTACTTCCGTAATCACTTAACCACAACCCATGTGTCTCGTGTCTTGTAGGTGGAAGAAGCTTGCGCTTACGATTCTGTGTTCGTCGTGGCCGAGGCCATACACAGTATGCTCAGGGTCAACGCGTCGTTGTTCCAGAAGAACTTCAATCGCGACGAGATGTGGAACTTCAACCACAAAGGCATATTTTGCTACCCTCAAGAGGACCGCGATGACCCCAATCGCCCATTCATCACTTTCGAACATGGCAGACATATTTACACGAATCTGAAAAGAGTAAGCTTACGCTAATATTGAAATTGTGATACAAGAACGTCTGCTCCAGCATATTATCTACTGTACATTTTGAATGATTATGCTGAGTATACCAACCAAATTTTCAACGGGATAGTCCCTCATCATTTGCACATCAATTAGGTAAAATAAGGGAAACAAATGTTATGGAAAGATTCAAAGTTGTTGATTGTGGTAACAAAAAAGACCGCGACCACATTGATGCAAAGAATAAAGATTTCATGGTTCGGTAAGTAGTGATAAAGACGATAATCAGCACCATGATGATGATAATGGTGCTATATTTAATAACAATGATAATGAAAATCACAGTTATGATCTCTGCGATGATT